ATTACTTGACAAGGATGCCTTGGGTTCCTCTTAGATTTTCATTCTGAGCTGTACTAAAGGGTCTGTCTTACATCCCAATTTTCTGCATTTATCCCCCCAAAACATAATTCACACTCAGATTTCCACTTATATCCACCTCTAATTCCCACAGCTCTGCACCTGAAAACTCAGTCTTTCTGATCTAGAAATGCCAGAACTTCTTCATTCTCCTTTGCCCAGGGCTGTGGCTGACACCAAGACCCAGGCCTTCATCATTTTGCCTTTAGAATTAACTGAGGAGTATTTCCTGGTTGGGGGTGGGGGGCTGCCCTGTACCGCACAGGATGTTAGCAGTACCCCTGGCCTTGACCCCCAAGGGGCCAGTAGCATGGTTTGTGACAACAAAAACCTGTCTCCAGATACTGTCAAACATCCCATGGGAAGCAAATGTTGAGAACCACTAATTTAGACTGACAGCCAAAGACTTTCACTAAATGTTAAATTCCTCAAAATTTTTTAACCCAATCCTTTCAAAAATTATTCCAGAATCTCCTAGTGTCAGATTCAATCAAACATATGCAATGTTTATTGTCCTTCTTGTCATATCCTCTTCCCTTCCGTTCATTCCTAGACATGCTCATACACAGCAGGAAAACTTGCATCGTCACTCATCCATGGAAGTTGGATGGTTGGTCAATCCATGGGATGACCTCCTGCCATTCCTACATTTTTCTTCTCAGCACCCTTCGTGTTCTTTCTTTCTCTTCATATGGCTTGAGTGCTGCTATTTCAGTGTTCTGCCTGTGCTCCTCATTCTTACTCAGTTTCTGTTCTCCCAGGATGAGGTCCTCTACTCCTTTTGCCTCACTTTTATAGCAATGACCATCACCACCCCTGCTCCAAAGTTTTATGTCCAGGATGACCTATGTCTGGATACATGAAATAGTTTTTCAACTAAGATCAAAATACCTGCAAAAGAACCTACAGACCCCTCAAAGACAATGCATCCAAAAAAAAGTTGATTTTCTCCCTGACCAAAGTCTTCCTCCTATCTTCTTTTCTCAGTAAAGTTATTCAAGATACACCTGAATACCCCAAACAAGAACCTTAGAATTTCTCTTCCCATTCACATAATCGGCCTCAGTTCTGCACCCTCCTTCACCTATCTCTAGCCCATGCTGTTGGTGTTTCTGGTCTCTTTGCCTTCAGTTTGTACTTTTTCTGGTCTAGCTTCACCTTTAAAACATCCCCCTGTTCATACGTCTTTGACAAATTCCACTGCCTATCACCTACACTCTGCAGGGTTTTAAGTGGGACCTTCACCACCAGGCCACACCTGCCTTACAGTCTCTGCACTTGTGTAACCTCTGCACACCCAAAATTCCAGCCTCACTGTCCATTCATTATTCACTGACTTTCTCCACATGTCTCTCAGTCAGGCTCCAGACAGAAAATTGATACCATGCTAGGTATTTCAACAGGAATAATTTGTTAAAGGAAATGGTTAAACAGGTGTTTGAGAATTTAAAAATGAAAACAAGAGACTGAAGTAAGTCTGAGAGACTATGGTATAGTCAGGAAGGAGCTTTTGCCCCGGGGCTGAGGGATTAGAGGAAAGAGGATGGAGTTATAAGACACTAAAAGTCTGGATGAGAGACACCACAGGACTGAGACCTGCACCTCTGAGGAGGGTGATGCCTGGCTACTGACTGCTACTGCCTCTGAGATTCTAAGCAGAGGCTCCTGGGAGCTGAGGTTCAACTCTCCAGGGAAGAGGGGCTATCAGGCTGGTGTAGGAACCTGTCAGGGGAAGGTGAATCTGGTGCTGAATAAAGCTGAGCACTGCAACCACGTGCTGCTGCTGGGATGAAGCAGCATTGCTGCAGCCTCACAGGAAAAGAAGGAAACAGAGTCTCGGTGCTTCCTGTCCACTCTGCTCCCTCTAGTGCCCCCTGTTGGTAGAATCCAGCAGGCAACTTGCACAGTTCTGCCCTCAAGTTCAGAAGGGTGGATTTAGAGTGGAGAAACTATTGCTTAATAACCAGCACAGTCGACTCCTTGCTGTTCTTCATACAGTTTCCCCATTTATAATGTTCTTACCACCCATATCTGTCTGGTGCATGCCTTTGTTCAAATACAATTTCTTTTCTGTAATCTTGCCTTATCTCCCCTAAAGTAATGATTTTCATCATCATTTGAGTTCCCCTAGCAGTTTGCAAACCCTTCCTTTGTAGTCGTTTCGTATTGTGTCATCTGTGTGTTTGTTTATTTTCTGCCAGACTGTGAGCTCCTTTAGGGCAGTTAGAGTTACAACCATAAAATCTAGCAGGGTGCCTGGCATGAAACAGATGTGGGTTGAGCTGGATGGAATTGATAAAGGCATTTTAATGAAATTAATATTAGATCATTTCTTATAGATATGATATCTTCCCAGCCAGATTTGAACTTCATAAGAGCAAGATCGTGCTTTATATTTCTTTTATTGTCTTGTCTGTGTTTAGTACAAGGTTGTATGTGCTGAAGAAGAGCTCAATGATATTTGTTAGCAACCTAGTTTGTTCATTAACCACCACAATTTTGCTTCAAAATGACATGAAGATGGAGCATGAGTTTATGAATAGCAGGTAAGCTCTGTAGTTAGATTTAGATGTGTGTCCAGCATGGGATTCCAACAGGCAGAGAGCATACGGTAAAGTCCTGTATTTGTTAGAGCATAATCAAGAGGTCAAATGTAGTGTGTTTATCGTAAATTCTAAAATAATAAAACATATCCTAGGTTTCACTTTTTATATTTATCTCTTACAGAAAACATGCCCCCCCAATCCTGGGGTACATCTGTTCCTAATATATTCATTAAATGTCTAACAACCACCAAAGTCAACTAGTAATTATTTAAACATAGGAAAGATATTGAATGTTAACTTAATCATCAGCTCTTGAATAAAAGAAACCTCTGTTCTCTGATTTACATTCAGGTCCTAGAGGAAGAAGAATGGCTTTAAAAAAAAAAAGACGAGTGATATTTAATTAACTATTGATTTCTTCTCAATTATTCAAGGCAAGCAATTATCGATATTGATGGGACAGATATTTCCCTCCCTCTAGTGACCAAAGGGAAGGAAATATCCCATTCAGCAGTCTGCTTCCTGGAACAAGAAATGCTGAGAATCTTTAACTTTAAATGGCAACAGTTATTTGGATCTGTTTATTCCATGTGGCCCCAATTAAACAGATACTTCTTGAAGTGTAAGCAAAACAAAATCCTGAAAACTTTCAGGGCTTTCATGAGTTCTGATGGAGAGGCTAACCACGCCACACTTGTGGACTTTGCTTCCTAGCTACAGACATTTTTAACCACAACTCATAAAATACTATAGTTTGGGTCTAATCGTCATGATTTCTAAGCTACCTAATGAAAGGTACCTTATAATCATTAGAACCCCTGGAACACTGCCTTGTATTCATATTTTGAGCCTGAAGAATTTAGTAGGCCTTAATAGTCACTCCTGACATTTTCAGATAGCAAGTGTGATGCATTTGAAAATTATACCAATACACTATGCAGCTGTGTTAGAGGTCACCCAGGAAATGTGGAAGGTGGAGAACAGCAAAACAGCGCCTGTGTAGGGCACTTCTTTATTAACCCTGTGGGTCTCTACCACCATCTTTTCTCAGCTCATTTGCACACAGAGCATTACCAGGTTTGTGTGTAAGAAACTTGTCTTGAAGGTGACATGACTATTGAATGTGATTAATGGACAGGCAACATTCTCTATTGAGTTACTACCTGAAGGGTGGAGGCATTTTTAATACTTTGCACTTAATAGTAACCTTAGGAGTGTGTGTGTGAGTGTGTGCATGTTTAATTCATGTGGCATCCGGGGGGGCGGGGGGGGGATTTGACTATGACATTTAAAAAAAAAAAACAGAAACTATCACAATTTAAGAAAAGCGACTTTTTCTGCTCTGCTCCCCACCCCCCTTCCAGAGTGGTTCTATATGTTAAGTGCTTAAGCGGCATATGTTGCTGGGAAGTGTTCTTGGCTCTTTTGCTTTCTGTTGTTTTAATTTCCCTGGGTTCTATTTAACATTCTGCTAAATCAGTGAAACCTCGATTATCTAAAAGAATTAAGAGACATGGAACTAATGAGGATAGCCAAAATTTTGAAGAAATAAGAAATGATTTGAGGTGGAAGTTACATGGCAGGGGCCATGGATGAATTTCTGACTCTGGAATCGCTTGATGTAGTCAAAGCTGATTCTATTAATTGATGGACATAATGAAATTTTGATAATCAGGGTTTCACCACTGCCTTTATTACTGTTCCTGGAAATCAAGGTAACCTTGGGCTTTACCTCCATATTTACAAGGTGATAAAAATCCTAATAGGCTGTCAGAGACAAATGTGACTGCTTTTCCTCATACTCCTCCCATGAAACAAGCTTTCCCTCTTCCCATCTGGCTGCCGCCCGCCTGGAGCATGCTACTTTCCCCACATCTCAACCCCTCCATCCTCACGCCTCCCTGTGGGCTGTCTTCATGCATGCAGCTGCTGGAATCGCACGGGGAGAAAATGGCCCACACCTGTCACTAGTTGCTGGTCATTTTAGCAACACTGCTTTGCATTTTAAATACCATTCATCTGACTTCAAAGTTCTGCATTCTAGTATCAGACCCTTGTCCTTTGAAAACCCAGGAGGTCACAACAGGTCCCAGTTCCATGAAGGGAAGAGACTGCCAAACCAGGAGTATCGCGTTGCATTCTATAGCCTGAAACAGACAATGATAACATACAAGACTGCAGCAAAAAAATCTATATGAAAAGGACTAATACGATAAAAGATACATTTGTTTGGAAACTCGAGTCCCAGGCTTCGTTTGGTGGAGGGGCGGGAGGGAGGGGAGCACAAGATCGATGGAGATTTTTTTTAAAGCTGAAAACATGATGTACCAGATGAACTTAAATTGATTCTGCTTCTCCTCCCCGCGCCCACCCCCCGCCCTCCCCCTCGTTCTGCAGCGAACGTCTGCGACAACGAGCTGCTGCACTGCCAGAACGGAGGGACGTGCCACAACAACGTGCGCTGCCTGTGCCCGGCCGCGTACACCGGCATCCTGTGCGAGAAGCCGCGCTGCGAGGAGGCGGGCGGCTGCGGCTCGGGCGCCGGCCCGGGCGCGCCCCCTCCCGGCTGCCCCGCGCTGCTGCTGCTGCCGCTGCTGCTGCCCGCGCTGCTGGGGACCGCCAGCCCCCCAGGCTTCTAGGCGTCGCGTCCAGCCACAGCCAGGCCGCTGCCGTGGGGAAGCAAACACAACCCGAGCATTTGCAACTAACATAGGAAACACACACACGCACACAGACAGCCCCACTCCAACAGTGTACAAACTAAGACGGCCTAACCGAACTAAGCCATATCTATCAGCCGTGGACAGCACATCCCAGTCAAGACTGTTAATTTTCTGACTCCAGAGGAGTTGGCAGCTGTTGGTATTATCACCGCAAATCACATCGCCAGCTGCAGAGCATACTGTGGATTGGAAAGGCTGTGACAGCCCCCCACCCCCAAAACAAACAAGTCAACCAACCTAGAAACATTTGCTACTCTAAGTGGTGCGCCCTGGTGCCACTCTGCCCAGTGTGTGGACCAACCAAATAGCAGCCTTTGCTGTCGGCTGCATTGTGGGTATAAGGAAACCTGTTACAAGCTGCCATATTGGCCTGCTTCAGCCCCTGACCCCCTTTTCCAACCTGTGCTTTAGTGAACGTTGCTCTGTAACCCTTGTTGGTTGAAAGATTTCTTTGTCCGATGTTAGTGATGCACACGTGTAACAGCCCCCTTCCAAAAGCGCAAGCCAGTCCTACCCCCGTATATCTTAGCGGCACTGAGCCCTCCCAGTGCGAGCACACGCCCACTGTACAAGAGTGGCTATAGGAAAAAAAGAAAGTGTATCTATCCTTTTGTATTCAAATGAAGTTATTTTTCTTGAAATACTGTAATATGTAGATTTTTTGTATTATTGCCAATTTGTGTTACCAGACAATCTGTTAATGTATCTAATTCCAATCAGCGCAGACTGACATTTTATTTCGTCCTCTTTTTGTTCTGTTCCGTTTCATTGTGCAGAGATTTCTCTGTAAGGGCAACGAGCGTGCTGGCATCAAAGAATATCCGTTTACATATTTAACAAGTGTAATAAGATTCCACCAAAGGACATTCTAAATGTTTTCTTGTTGCTTTAACACTGGAAGATTTAAAGAATAAAAATTCCTGCATAAACGATTTCAGGAATTTGTATTGCGATTTCTTAAGATGAAAGGAGCAGCCACCACGCAGTCTCACACTCACTTTACCGATTTCTGTGTGGACTGAATCCATTCAGCTGACGAATTTAGTACCCAGGAAGATGGATTGATGTTCACTAGCTTGGACAACTTCTGCAATACATGAGACTACTTCTACTTGGGAAAAATTACAACAGCAAAAAAAAAAAAAATTTAAGTGATTGCCAAGATTATGCCAAAGCCTGTTGGCAGAGTACTAAGAGACTTTTATTTTTAAGTCATGCTATTTTCACAGATTGATATGATCATGTGACTCTAGGGATGCTGATCTATGTATCTTTCCAAATACAGTGTTTACATGGAGTACCATAGAGGCCACCTGGGGAACCAGGGAAGCAGCAGGGAAATTGAGTGATTAGCAATTTGACTTTGAATATATTCAGACTACGTATTTATAGGAAATATCAAAATATACAGCAGCAAATAGACATAACTGCTGTTCCTGAGAATAAAGTTTGTTTTAAGTACTGCCCAAGGTGTAATAAATTCTTGTTTCTGCCTTTTATGAGGCCAATTACTGCGCAAGACAGCAAGGGGAGGCAGGTGGGGGAGAACCACAGCAAAGTTTCAAAGAGGCCGAGTGTGTATTTCCTTCCCAGCACACTGTTGTCCTACAGGTGACAGATGAGTTTGCAGCCGCGTCTCCTGGAATCAAAAAACAATTATCAGCCGGAGCCACAGTTTTAAGGACAAGGAAGTTCTACATGACTTGGTTGAACAATAACCTGTGTGTGACAGTGTTAGGTGGGAAGCCGGGTTCCAATCGGATTCTCCTTCCTGCTGCCACTCCTCGCTGAAACAGGGGAGGGGGCCGAAATCTCTCCCAATAAACAGCCTGGGAAAACGCTAGATGAGAGAACAGCATGTCTTATTGGTTTTGTTCCCAGAAAAGCCAATTCTAAGAAGGCAATAAAAGGTAAACAGGTAATGCCTGTGTCGCCTGCCACCCCACGACTAAGTCTATTGAATGTTTGTTATTCAAACCAACACTCCCTTTAGCTGTAAGAAATAAGAAAAGGCGGAAATAAATTAGAGCTTTGGCTTAGTGCCAGAGTGGCCAATCAGAAACCGGAGATCTGCATGGGAAGTACAAATAGAAAATTATGTTTCAGGCCTTGAAAATTAGGTTTCCAAGATAAACATGAAAATCCTGATAATGTAGGCAGTTCGAGATGACTTATAATGAGGTGGATTTCTAATATTAAAATTGGAATTTAAGTTGTCTTACAGTTTATTAGCACAAACCAAAGGCAGCCCCTGTTATTTCTGGCATCGATGCACTTTATTGTCACCCACTCAGGCCTTTGTCACAATGCTCAGGAATCAGACACCGCAATTTTCAATCTGTGAGCGTCCAAAAGCTAATTCTCAAATTTAATGAAGACCCGATCTAAATCAATTCATCTGCATTTTATCTTTATGAGACTATGAGACTCTAAATTGATGAGGAATATCTTGCATTCAGTGGTATTTAGATGTAGTTTTCTGAATTTCCAGAAGCGATGTGATCTGCGTTTAATAAAAATTCAAATTTAGGTATACAACAAATGGAAATGAAATGTGCTTTTTAATCTGGATTCTCAAGTTCTTCTAAGGGACCCATTCCTTTGAAGAAATCCCAGCTCAGTAGACTTCAGTCACCTGTTGCTTTCCAGCACTCTTACAAACCTGGTTTCATCTATAATATTATGTCCTCAGTACAGGACTGGGGTGAGAAGTGCGTACTTGGTCGTTCACACATCTGAGGTCCTAATACTTGTTCTTTTTCTACCTGTCTATGTCCCTTAAAGTGGTTAATATAGTCTTGCATATGAATTAATCTATCAACTTTCCCACAGAATAAAAATACAATTCCTTCTATCAATGAATGCTCTTGATGAACATAAAATTTCAAAAAAAAATGGGACAAAGATTCAGCTATCTAGAAAGTGTTGCTATTTATAGGAAAGTAATGAACATGCCCTGCTGTGCTATGGGAGAGATTTATTTCTGACCTGGTACACAGCCTAGAGGAAGATCCTTAGTCCAGCAAAGAAGGGTCCTGGATTAGAGGGTCCTACTCTGACCCTCCTCCAGCTTTGTCCCAGATGCCAAAGACCCAGAGTTCCCTATTCAGAGGTCCTTCCCCTACTGTTAGGCAGGCATGGGACACTGCTGCATCATGAGTGCACACCCCTGTACATATGGGGTAGTGAAGGGTGCACCGGTATGGCTGGATTCATTCCTAGTGAATTCTAGGAAATTCACATACACAGAAAGAGAGGCTCCTTGCAGAGAAAACTAGAGTGGGAAAAAATGAAAGTGGTGAGAGGTGGGAAGGAGATAGACAAAGGCTATCTCAGGGCCAGGGCCCAGCCCAGAACTCTGAGTAGTCTAAGGATTCTAAATCCATACCCAGGCTTCCAATTGGTATGAAAGCATATGTGTCAAAGCAGCAAGATGTATTTCATTTAATGCTTTGTTAGCTTGGTATATAATTTTTAAATAATTACACATAAGGCATGTGGGACTTCGTTGGTACTTTTGCCCTGGGCCCTGCAAGCATTTAGCATGGATCTGTGTGAGGTGCCCTTGAGTCAAATCCCTAAGCTGGCACAAATCACTCACTGGGAACATGAAGACAGGTCCAGGTTGGAAGGAAGAAGTCATCTGCTCCACAGTTCAGCTGTCCCTGTGGTTAATCCTCACCTCACCCTTCATCGGACCTAGGGCTTTACTGGAGTATAAGAAATATGGAATGAATCGGGGTCTGCTGTGAAATCACATGTTTTGTTCACCCTCTGCCATCCAGTATTACTGGGTTGTAAAGACCTGGTCTCCTACATTGGGATGCTCTGTGCTATGCGGGACTTGGGTGATATACTTCTCCTGCTGTTAACTTCTAAATATAATTCCTAGTTAACAGTTTCTCTGCTCTCGAGATGGAACCGGAGATGTGGGGATTACCTGTCTCTATGTTTGTCGTGAACTGTATAGGCATTCATGAGCTGTTGCGATTCAAAGCTCAGCTTCAAGAGTCTGCACTAGAATTTCTTGCCTGCCATCTGTCTCCCAGCTTTAATTGATAAGAATGGGATGGCAATGGTGGCATTGACTAAAGTGGATCTTAGAACAGTGTGAAGAACCAGGTTGGTTGGTTTGTTTTTAGGAAATCCAGTTGGGCGGTCTTACACAGAGGAATGAAAAGTAGAGCTAAGGAACACCCTCTGGGTTTTGATCCAAGTGTCTCATCCTTAGAACTCTGTCTTTGCCTCAGGAAAGAAGAACTAGAGTCTAAACAATTTTATTTCTAGGAAACATCAAATGTTCATCTGACAAATATTGTCAGTTCTATTCCCAGACAGAATGATTTTTCACTTTTAAGTAGATATATTTTTATTTTCTTCCACTAAGAGTATCTTTTTCCTTTAGTTACCTAAAACAAATGTTGATAAATTCTCAGCATAAACTACACACAAACATTACACCATGTCAGAAAGAATGAACAATGCCGACTATCATATTCTGAATTTTCACCAATAATCCTGAGAACGCAGTGAACTTACACTCGTCACAACACCTGGGAAGGTATGACTCAGGTATTACCATCTTCATCTTACAACTGAAGAATCAAATAACTGCGAAAAAGAAATCATATAAATCATATTATTGCATTTAACAGGGAATCAGAAAACATCTGTGAAAAATTCATAATAATATGGGGAAATTTTCAGTTATTTGAGATCTATGAGGGCAGAAATATTCTGCCCCTAATACATTTTTAGAGCAGGTCCTCAAACCAGTCTAGAAAGAAGACTAAAATGAATTTAGGGGGTATTTAGATTTAAATAGTTGAGCATGTAATAAACGCTAGAATCCCGCTCTACCATTTTGTGTCCCACCCAAAAGCTGTTTTTAATTGATAGATGAATTAAAATGGAGTAGTAACATTTGAAATTATGTGATGTTTTCATCGCCTGGAGTGATAGCTGTTAAAATGGGCCATTATTCTGCGAAATCTAATTATGTTAACACTAAAGATTTCGCTGGGCTGGTTGAAGCAAACCGCAAAGGATTGGAAGGAAAAATAATCCCCACTGTCTTAACTTAGTCCCACTTTTTGAGAGGTGCAACTTTCAACCATTATTTAATTAGTGAACTATGAATTCTATGGGGGAAAAAATTGACTGAAAAGAGAGGAAATAATTACTCCCCCTCCTGCCTCTGTCTGCATAGATTCTGAAATTCCTGCATGAGAAGAATGTGTCAAGTCACAGGAGAGACACAATGTAGCCCGTCTGTATCTCCGGCCTCCCTGATAGTACTACATTACAGCTTTTCTCTTACAAGGGGCAGTCATTCTAATCTAATAAAAGAAGGGAAATGGCAGAAAATCACACACCTGAAGTCCTATTAAGACTAGGTGATTCTTTTTGCCCCAGGCAGGCAAGAACATAATGTCATTTTTGTTCGTTTGTATTTGCGCTCTGAAGGAGGGCCGCTCCTGGTGGGGAATGGTTTTTCCTCTGCCAGTGTGAAACACTGCACGAAAACATTCTCCAAGGAAATAGCATTTTGCTATTTACCAGTCATGACTACCCCATGAAGCCCTGAGTAATTGTTTTGGCTTTCATGGTGTGATAAACACCTAGAGGCAAAGAGATTAGTGTCATCACTCTCCGTCTCTTTTTCTCTCCTCTTGGGGGAAAAAAAAAAAAAGGTGTGGGGGGTGTCCAAATATAGCATGACAATGTTTGCAAGAATCTTTCAGGGAGCTGGTGCTTAATTATAAAGACCCCAGCTAAATATTTCATTTATTAAATTAATAGCGTGACAAGTATTGGAGCAGCTTTACAACCACTTAAACTTGTGTTTACATCCTGTGTAATTACAATTCATAATTGGGAAAGCCGTCAAATCTAAATGCATTCTGATCCATTGGTTCTCAGTCTGCCAAGGAGACCCAGCACAACACAAGTCAGTAAGTGACTCTTAAAAACAGGACCTCTTCAGCTAGAACTCAAACCAGATTAGGGGAGGGCCTTCGGGGAGTCTATCACGGAGGGGTTTTACGTTGTGAATAAGATCTAATGGGCGTACTATTTTTTTTTTTTTCTGGGCAAAAGCACATTTAATTTATAAAAGACCTAAAAGTATAAGAATGACTGCTCTGAATCCTAAGATTTAGATTTATCCCAACTATGGAAAGTCTTAACTATAAATTGTTGTCAGGGGATGAATGATAATGACCTGCAGGTATATGAAAGCACATGGTAATTAGCTATTTATTCATTTCAGACTGACTTTATCTCTACCTGAGCTGCTAAGAGCATCTATAGTCCCTTCTGTGGAAATGCGTGTATGTATACAAAATATATATGTATTTTTTAAAATACATCCATGGTTTAAAAAACCAGATATGAAATAAAAATGAAAATGGTCCGGATCAGAACTACAATGTGAGTGCCAAACGATCAAAAGGTCTTGCCAGGAGGATGAGTGGAGTGGGGGTGTTTGCTGGGACCACACCTGTGGTTGATCTTACAAGGGTACACGTGAATCTTTCTAAATGTAGAATATAAATGTCTTAGCACACACAAAAAAAAGGTCTTGCCAATTTTTGTATATTCCTAGTGACCTAGTGCAGCCTATGGGACCAAAGAAAACTTACATCACCTGGGTGCATGGACCGAGCCCCCCTTTAGGGCTTAAAGGATACTGGTTCCATTAAAGGGTCCCAAATAAAGCTCTTGGGAAAGTCTATGTTGCTGAATATTTTAAATATTTGCATTAATATTTTGATAATAAAAAGCCTCATATCTTGTAACTAGTTTCACTTCAATCCTTATGAAATGATGGCAATTAAAGGTGTATCATTTTAATCCAATCTGAATATGTAAATATTTTTATGTACACTTTCACTTTAGTGCACACAACCTGTTTACAATCATATACTTATGTCTACATTATGAATAACGGGGGCTACCTCTAATTAAGGGCAGGCAGCATTCAGTGGAATGGAGGATGTTACCACAGAGATTCATCTCCATTAGTCAGATTCTGTCGCTGGAAATCAGATCACACTCTGAAAAAGTCTGAAATAAAGGCCAGTGCCTGTGGCTCAAAGAGGTAGGGCAGCGGCCCCGTATGTTGGAGGTGGCGGGTTCAAATCCAGCTCCTGCAAAAAACTGAAAAAAAATAAAGTAAAAATAAAAGTCTAAAATCAGATGGGTTCTGATTCTACTCTCGGGTCTGTGGGAAGCACTAACACTCTGGTTGTTCTCTATTGCAGACATTTTCACTAGAAAGAACTCCAACCATTTTCTTCTCCCACTTGTCACAAAATTTATATAAAATAAAATAAAGTATGCGTGACGGAGGAACACACTTCAATTGAACTGCAAAAAGTCATTTTCTTTTTGACTGGTTGGCTTCATCTTTATGGTTATTCTAGCTTACAAGGATTAGATCAGAAGCAAGGTCTTTCTAATTGTCTTTGAGGCTCCCTGAGTTTGGGGTGCTATTCCGATTATTTGAGTCACCTGTGTTCCCACTTGATCCTCCAGACTTGCACCAGCCCCTGGCCACTAGCCACTTCTGGCTCCTGAGCCTATAAATGTGATCAGTCCAAGTTGACGTGTCCTCTGACTATAAGATGCACATGTTACTTCAGAGTCTCAATACAAAACAAAAAAAGAACACGTATTATCTCTTTCATAGTTTCATATACTGATGACATGGTTAGAAGGACAATATTTTAGGTATACTAGAATTGACTTTAACTGTTTTTTCCCCTTTTCTAAAGTGGCTACTAGAGATTTTTAGATTGCCTATACTATCACATTATATTTCTTTCTTTCTTTCTTTTTTTTTTTTTTTTTTTGCAGTTTTTGACCAGGAGTGGGTTTGAACCCACCACCTCTGGCATATAGAGCTGGAGCCCTACTCCTTTGAGCCACAGGTGCCGCCCTCACAGTATCCAATTTCTATTGGACAACCCTGCTCTAGACATCTAATTCCGTATCTGTAAAATGGGGTTCACAGGATTCATTCTCCAGTTAAGATGAATATCAAAATGAGCTAATGAATATAAAATTAATATTCATTAATATAAGGTGCTGATTTCCAACACCGTGATAACCAGGATGAGACTTTTAAGCTCCTCTTCCACCGTGCAGATTTTTCTGGAAGTCTTGTCATAACTTCCCCCTAAGAAGGGCAGGAAGACAATAAATTCAACACTTGTAGAGTTTGGGATGTGACATATGACCTGAACACAGAGCTTACATCAGCAACGGTGTCAACAGGAGAACTCAGACAATAATAAAAAGAACAGTAAGAGAAACAACACAGCTAAGCTTTATTGAAAGCCTTGCACCAGACTCAGTGCTGCGTGTTTTTTGCTATTTTTATTCTAAATAATATTCTGCACATCTGTTAAGGTAGCTGTGAACACATCGTTGACTTGCAGTTGGCGTCCTATAAATTGAATTGCTTATGATAATTTATGTACATATCCAGCAAGTAGAAGATGGGTAAATGTGACTCAGCAGCAACAATTAAGTAGACAAAGGCAAAATATGGGTCAACAACATGTGCATAAGTTGTATGCTAGAAATACAGCATTTAGAACGGGAGGCGCGTGGGGGCTTCCACAGGTGGGTCCCAGTGTTGAACCTCATATTAACTTAAATCCTGTCTGCTTAAAGGACACCTTTCACCAGCCACTCTTCAGTTACCACCCGCTTTAACAATCTTCCAGGAAAAAACTACTCACTTCATGCCTTGGATTCAAAACCCATCTTCACCCTGGCCCCAGTACATTTGTCCAAACCACAAGCCTTGGGAATGCCCTGCCCGTTATCATCTTGTTAACTTGGGTTAGGGTTTTAAAAAAAAAAAACAAAAACCTGGAATTTCAACACT